TCCTCATCACTATTTTCTTCCTCCACCTCACACTCATTACTATTTTCATAATTCCACCTTGGATCTAAATCCATCTACCAAGAAAAAGAAAAACATTAGGATCCACATATGAACACAAAAAACCAATCTAATTATTTTTACAACTAAATTAAAAATGTAAAAAAAAATAAGATAACATACCTTTTTATCTTTCTCTTAAGTTGAACAATAAATGAACTCTTGAACTCTTGAACTCTTGGACGTAAATTGAATTTGAGAAAAGTGCATGAGGGTGTTGTAATTTAAATAGGGGGTTGTGTTTTTATGTATGTTTAGATTTTTTTCCATATGATTGAGAAATCTTTTCTTAAGATAGACTTTCTTTTTTGATGTGATTGGAATACAACACTTGCGCAATGCATGTCTACTGTCCCAACGCATGCACTGAAATCAGCTCTTGGGCAATGCATGCCTACTGTCCTCAGCTATTGAGATTCTGCATCACTGGTGTCCACATTGCTACCCTTGATATAAAAGGTAAAAAGGTTTACTAGCCCCTAAAATTCTTTGATTGTTGTCACGCCCCAAAACCCGAATTCGAGGCGCGATAGATGCCGTACACTCGTGAGACGGGGTCCCACAAATGCACAAGGCTCGGAACTTATTAAACCACAATCTGATACCATCAAAATCTGAAGATCAAATCTTAAAATTTGCTCTGATACCATAAATCTCCAAATACACTCTGGTTTACAAGATCATGATTTATTTCTAAAATATATATCAAATCTCGAAATGGCTAGCTTTCTAACTCGTCACTTCCCGTGGTTTCCCAGTCCTCGGTTTCGCTTCTTGAAATGGTGGACAAGGAAAAACTATGAGATAAACTCAGTAAGTAAATATGGAGTGCCCCTTATTAAATTTATAGCATGCCAACAAGCATAATCATGAAAAACAGATACGGTTACGGAAACGAAATAGACGTCTCCTCTATAGGTCATGGCCAGCGTTTATAAATTTCCCACTGGCGGGCACACGATTTACTAGTGTATAATCCCCACTAGCAGGGCCACTGAACGAACCGATTCTATCACTAACATGTCGACATGTGCCGACATGTGCTAGCGTTTAACCCCCACTAGCAGGGTTACAAGAACATAACCACATCAGAGACAAAACAAGCAGAAGTTAACAGAAAAATCATAATTCACCAATCACTTTCAAATCATCAGGACAATCACTTAAATTTCAAGTAGGCATGCTCAATTTAATGAAAAGCATAAAACATTTCACTTCAAATCAGTCATGCTCGTGTAAAACGGGTTTAGTCCCGCCACCACTTCAAAAACAAATCAAAACATGCTTTTAAAAACTATACGGGCATTACCATAAATTTACTTACCTCACTCGCATAAAACCGAGCACTCAATCTCAGTGCTAACTAACAGAACGATCGGAAACCTAATCAAAATACCCATAGATTAATTACCGTACTATCACAAATTCAAGTTGAAATCATCATTAAGACTACCCTTAATCACGATGCTATTTCTATAAATCTCCACATTATCAGATATCTCCAAATTCGTTCTTATATCACAAACTAATCATTTAAATCCCCGTTAATTGTTGGCCATTAGTGCATGAACAGTACCACGACGTGAACAGTAACTGCACTTCCAAAAATGGGCCAAAACACTAGCTAATTCTCACGGGATTTTCTCAAAAAATCACACAGCAATCAATTAACACTCAATCACATAAATTCCACTTAAATCAATGCTTAAACTTGTCCTAAAACTACCGGAATTATCCCCCATTTTTAGCCAAATTCGGACATCACAAAGCAGCAACCTTAAATGGATAATTTAAGCCTTAGATGGCTGTCACATACCAGAATTTTCCAGCAAGAACCGAACCTAGCAGGGGGAAAAAGCCGGCGGCAGTGCAGGGGAGAAACTCACGGACTAGCCAAAAATTGAAGGAACCAAGAGCAATTAAAGTAAACCCAGGGCAATTCAAAGCTAGAGAAGGGAGAATTCGAGCTATTTCTTACCAAAAAACCGGACAAATCACACCCACAAAGCAGGAGCAGCCGGACGGTGAGGAGCAGAGCAAGGCAGATCCGAAATTCTGCAGATGGGGGAAAGGATTTCTGGGTTCTAGAACAAGAAAGGAAGGAGAAATCCAAGCTTTCTCACCGGTTTCTCAAGGTTGGTGCCGGCGGCTTGCTTGGGTTCCTTGCCGGCTGCAGCGGGAAGAAAGAAGAGAAGCAGAATCGGGCTGGAGAAAAAGAAAGAAAAAGAGAAAAGAAATAGCTGATCCTTATCCAATTCCTTTCCTCTTTTAAGTCCCTGAAGTTTGGATATTTTAGCTAATAAGCCCCACAATAACATTTTTCCACAATTTAGTCCCTAACTCATTTATCCTATAAATTTTTGGGGTATCACAATTGTAATGATTTAACCCAAAACTTATTTTTATGTAAAATCTACACTTTTAATTTTAAAACTATGCAAATTGCCCCTCCCCTTTTAGATAAGGTGGACACCATTGATTTTTAAATTGTATGAATCATATTATTTTAACTTTTTATTAACTTTTACAAATTAACAAAAAAAAACTTAATATTTCAAGATAAGTGATAATCCAAACATGGATTAATATGGAATCCTTATTTGAACTATAAATCACCAGTCCAACTTCTAAGCAACAACATTATGAAAAAAACATAAATTCATAACATTAGTTCACATACAATGAAAATACAAATAAAAAAGAAAACCGTTTTGTATCTCAAATACAAGCATTACGAATGTCTTAATACTAAAAACTCAAATACAAACATTCTAGTAATGCCTTCTACCACCGAATCCCTCCCTCTCCATCTCAAACCTTATCGTCCCTTTCCAACTCTTGCTGTAGCCAAGAAAGTTTTGAGTTAACTGATTTTATACTCCTAAACATATTTCTATATTCTCGTTTCACAAACAAACGAGTACCTAACATAAAAAGCTCATTACCATCTTCAAGTCCAGGTAAAGTTAACATCTCCATACATTTTTCAGTGCTATTAGCATGTGCTTCATAATTCTTCTTTGATGAATCACTCAAAGTAGTTGTGGCATAACTTTCAACTGCATTAAAAAGACGATTCAATGGTCTTTGCATGTATGCTGCACCCCTTTAATTTCACTTTCTTCCCTTTGCCGGTAAGTGAAGGACCAATTGTGTTTTTCTTCCTTTTTTCACTACTTCCACCAATTTGTGTTGGGATGACATTCACCTCATCAGAATCACCACTTCCTTCTTCCAAATCAATAGCATCTTCAAACCCCACATTTTGTTGTACTGGAGGAATAGGCCCAGCAGTTGGAGTCCATGCAATTTCACCGGTGACTACTATTCTGTCAAACATTTGTTGCAACTCCACTGTGTTTTCTAATCCATGATGCTTAAATTTACCAGTCTTTGTTCTCCTATAATAAATATAACATATTAGAAGTTTAAAGTTAAAATTAACAAAGTCACATGCAAAAAACTAAAAATCATTAACAATAAAAGAATACAACTAACCGCTTTCAATTTAGCTCATCGTTGAGGAGTAGCATCAATTGTGCCTTTTTCATGATTCCACCCTAGTCCTATTTCTCACTTTAAGAGTTGATTCCATGTCACGCCCCAGAACCCAAATCCAGGGACATGGCAGACGTCGTACACTTATGAGAGGATCCCACAAATGCACAAGGCTCGGAACTTATCATACCACAATATGATACCACAAAATCTGAAGATAAAATCTACCTTACAAAAGGATAATAAAATCTAAAACTTATATCCAATTAGAATGGCTAGCCTTCTACCTCGCCACTCCCTTTGGTTTCCCCGTCCTCGGTTTCGCTTCCTGAAATGGTGGACAAGGAAAAACTATGAGATAACTCAGTAAGTAAATATGGATAGCCCTTGGGTAAAATTTTAGCATGCCTGATCAACAGTTTAACATAACAAAACGTTCAATGATAAACCATTAATGCAAAATCAAATTCAGTTCAATAGCAAAGCGTTCAATGACAAACCGTAATGCAGAAGAAAATTCAGTAGTAGTCTCTTCTATAAGTCATGGCCAATGTTTAACAAACTCCCACTGGCAGTCGTCAGTAGTGGTACCAGTGTTTAACAACTCCCACTGACAGGCGTCAGTAATAACCAATGTTTAACCCCATTGGCAGGGTTATAGAAGTACCAGTGTTTAACAAACTCCCACTGACAGGCATCAGTAATGGTACCAGTGTTTAACAACTCCCACTGGCAGGCGTCAGTAATTACCAATGTATTATCCCATTGGCAGGATTACAGAATGAATCGGTCATATCAGTAAACATGTCGACATGTGCTAACATTTACAAACTCCCACTGGCGAGCGTCAGTAATCATGACTATATCGAGACAAAACCATCCAGGACTTACAGAAAATTCTGAAATTCACAATCAATCTCAAATTTCAGAAATAAACCAGAAAATTTCCATGTGAACATGGATTTAACAGAAAAACTCAGAATTTACAAAATTCTCGGTTCATCAAAGCAGTTCAGTCAATTCCAAATAGGCATGCTCTACTCAATGCAAATGAAAACAATTTCATGTGGGCATGCTCAACTCCAAAAAAACAATGAAATTCTCATTTTCATTCCAATCCTGCTCAATTCCAGAAAATAAAAATTTTTAGAAAAATCATCACAATTTTCATTTCAGTTTAATCACACTCAGATGCTGATAAAATCAATTTAAACCTTGCCACCATTTCAAAAACAATTTAAAACATGCTTTGAAATCGAAGGGCTTTACCATAATTTACTTACCTCACTCGCATAAAACCGAAGACTCGATCTCAGTGCTAAACTGACAGAACGATCAGGAACCTAATCAAAATATCCAAGAATTAATTACCGTACCACAGATTCAAAACTAAAATCACCATGACTACTCCCTAATCACGATGTTATTTCTATTGGTCTCCAAATGACCAGACATCTCCAAATTTGTTCTTATATTACAAACTAAACATTTAAATCCCCGTTAATTGTTGGCCATCAATGCGTGAACAGTGCCCGTGAACAGTACTCATAAACAGTAACTGTAACTTCCATAAATTAGCTAACAATAACTAATTCACGGGGTTTTCTCCAAAATCTCACAGCAGTCATAATAAGCTAATTTTCTACATTAAGCAAGCTTAAAACCCATGTTTTAAGGTCGCCAAAACTCCTCCATTTCAACAGAAAATTTCCAACGGACAAAATGGAGGAACCGAGCTTGGCAAAACAGCACTAAGGCCCGGCTATGCATACAGAACATCAGAGTAATCCAATCACAGAAAATTCTACATGATTTAAGCAACAAAACACACTTAAAATGCTGCCGGATGTTACCCTGTACAACAGCAATTTCGGACAGCAAAAAGGGGGTAGCAACTAACGGGTTCTTCCATATTGCAATAGGAAAATTCAACAGCACAGGCAACAATTAAATGGTTTAAAGTTCAGCTTTAAAAGCTGTCTCATACCAGAAAATTTCGGCAAGCACAACCGGAGCTGGCGGTGGAGAGCCGACGGGATCTGCAGGGAAACTCACGGAAACTACCCAAAATTCAAGAACCACAACCAAAAATTAGAGTAACCCAAGTTAAATCAAGGCTAAGGAGATGATTTCTTAGCTATGGCTTACCAGAAAAAGCCAAAGGATTCACACCCAGCAGAACCCGACGGACAGGGGAGGAAGAGACACCGAGCAGATCTGGAAATTTTCTGCTGGAAAGGGAGATTTCCAAGTCTAAGTTCGGCTTTCAACAAGAAAAGAAGGTAAATCCATCAAGCTTTGCCAACTTTCTCAAGAGGAGTGCATCGGTGGCTATGGGGGGCTTGTCGGGGAGAAAAAGAAGAAGAGCAAGTCACGGCCTGATGAGGAGGAAAAGAAAGAAAGAAAAAAAAGAAAAGAAAAAAGCAACTGATCCTTATCTCATTTCCTTTCTTTTAAGTCCCTCAACTTTGGAGGTTTTTGCTATTAGACCCCAAAACAATATTTCTCCCAAAATAAGTCCCCTAACTTAATTGATAAAATTCCCAAAAATTTGGATATTACATTCCACAAAACCCAATCACTTTTTAATGTATCCCATCGATTTCTTAGTTGTTTATAAATATAATGCTTGTTTGTTCTTTCATTAAATTTTTTTTCCACATTTGTCCACCCTAATCTATTAAAAGTACTATTAAGACGATTACCAACATTGACCTCTTCCACACATATCTTGAAAAAAATTTTTGTTGTAAATGCATCCCACACTGCCTTGGACCTTTTTTCAACCATCTTATATATTGAAATAATTTTGGCCTTAAAACAAAATCTACAAACACATAGAAACAAATGTTGAATAATGGAAGTATGGATACACATAATAACACCAAAAACAGAATGCTAAAATTAGGAAGAATTATAAAATAGCCTTTTATAGGTGTAAACTAACCCGAAAATTTTAATCATGCCTAGCATCAACCAAACTTACAAACAGACCATTACATACATTACTGTATGTGAACCAAAACAGCAAACCCAATTAAGTTTGAGACACAGTAAAACCTACTATAAAAACAACAAATTGCTCAACCTCTACAAAACTAAACGACACCCATTTGGAAATTAGAGAAATATATGCATTGGGTATGCTAGAAAATCTTACCTTTTTGGGTTTCCTTGGTTGAACCCAAAGCTAGAGTTAACAATCATAGCAACCCAGAATGCTATAAAGATAACAAGAAATGCAACATCTCTGCATTTCTTGTTGTGCCTTATGATTCCTCCTAGTTGGGTACTCCCATCACTTGATGGGTACCTCCCTATGACTGCCCCTAAAGGACCCCTCATCTCCTACCACAGTCACAGAATAGGGTTTATCTATCAGAAAAGGAGGCAATGCGTAAAGGGAGAAAGGAGATTCTGCAAAGATAGTAAAATTTATAAAAATAATTCCTATGTTCAACACAAAAAGAAAAGGGTTTTAAATCTAAGGAGGCAATAAAAGCCTAAAGAAGGCATGAAGCTGATCAAGCTAACCCACCAAAAAAGTATAAAAGCCTAAAGAAAAAGTTCATAAAACCTGAATCCAGAATTCAGTCAAGGATACTTTAATGTCTTAAAAAGAAAAAAATCGTTGGAAAATAAAAAGGAAGACAATGGAATGGCACAATTCCCTTTCCCCCAAAACATTAAAAAGAAAGATCAATTTTTATCTTGAGAAAAAAAGGCAAATCAACACATACTACAACTACATCTCCAATCCAAGGTCCCCATTTCAAAAAATTTTGCCACCAATAATTCAATACACAATCCATTCTTGCATATTAATAAATGCAATCAAGCAAACTAATCATGGTACAGGACTGATAAAAGCAGAGGTTTACCAGCCGATCTCATCTATATACTGTTAGAAACATATAGTCGAACCAAGAAATCAAACATATACTAAGCAGTAAGCACCCAAAATAATGAACTACAAGCTTACCTTCGCTTTGGGTATAACCTTAACAGCAACTTGTTGTCCTTTGAGTTCCCCTTTCTTGAACTTGGTTGAGCAGGTATAACCAAAATGGCCTCTCCCAACCTCCTCCCCGAGCTCGTACTTGCTCCCAAAATGCTTCGAGAATCCAAAGTCCCATGGTCGAAACACCCTCTGCTTCACCCCCCTCCAGTATTGCCGCTTCGTTCGACTTCATCGACCCATGCCCCTTCATCGCGTCACCCAAATCTGTAAGAAGAGAAGGAACGACAAGGGATTAAAAATTAAAACTTTCACCAACTCACACTACCAACCAACAATCATCATTCATCACCACCAAATTGGTAGCAGAAACACCAAAAAAGGAAAAAAAATCAGAGAAAAGGAAGGAGACTCACAGAAGGAGGAGAAATGGGATTTTGGTGGGGATTTTTCGATGAGGGGAAATGGGCTTTTCTACTTTGAAGTAGTTAGGGAGAAAGAAGGTCGGTGACTGAGATGCTTTTATATTTCCGATTTGCTTTGGAAGAAGGTGGGCAAGAAGGGAGGGAGAACAAGGCATGTTCGGCTGCTTCAGAGACAAAGAAAGAAAGACAAGGGAAAGAAAGAGGAGTTATAAAATGAATCTTTATATACTGGTTTTTTTGTAAATAAAAGGAAGTGTGAGGACAAAATGGGAATGCCATGTCAATTTTATTAAACATGAAGCGAGAAGCTCCCGTGGAAGTAAGAAATTGGTGCTTCTGGGCTTTGCAAAGGAACGACGAGAAGGTGAGCTTCTAGAAAGCTGCAGCATGTTTGAGAAGCTGACCCGTTTGGTGAAGCTTGTGCTTTTAGAGCCAAAAAGCTCTTTTCATGATCTGCACCAAACACCCTCTTAATCTGGGTTTTGGAATTGGGCCTGTTCAAATAGAATGGAGAAGCTGAGGCTTCCTGTTGGGCTTTCTAAGCCCAATTTTGTTTTTCCACATCAAAAATTTTTTAAGCCCGATTTGTTTTTCCTGTATCTTATTTTCTGTTTTTCTACGTTAATAACATTAATTAATAAAGGTTTATGTCGTAAATAATGGGAAAGGTCGATCATAAAAAAACAGGGGCGTGAAGATCACAATATTGTTCTCTTTAGCCCCAAAAATGTATATTGCTCTGAACGTTATGCCCAAATTTTATGTATTTGAAAAATGAAAAGTTCTTTTAGAAATAAGAGAAAATTATAACACAAATAAATTGAAAAAAGAAATAACGTCCTTCAGCTTTATTTCCCAAAAATTATAAAGTAAGACTTAATAAAAGGATGTAGTTTTATCTGTTCTCATCTAATATCCATTGTTTTCTTTCTTCTTCTTTTTTCTCTTTTTTTTTTTTTTTTTTCAGATGTAGCGCCTTTTCATCTTGTTTTTACGAGCAACCCTAACTTCTCAGATCTCCAGTCTTCCTCAATTGATTTCCTTCTTCTCCCCTCAGATTTCACTATTCCTTTACTTCGATTTACCTCGAATTTTGATTAATTATGGGTGCTTGAGGGGTGCAGGGAAGAGTTAATTGTTTGGGGCTCCTTCAACTAGTTCTTCACCATCATCTTTGAATCGATTCAGCGAGGAGGAGGCAGGGGTTTCTAGCTTTTCTGGGGGTTTCCTTCGACTTGTTCTTCACCATTCATCTTCGAGTCGATTCAGTGAGGAGGTAGCTTGCAGTTTCTAGCTTTCTTTGTGTTGCTTTGGAAAGCTTTCAGAATGGGTTTATGATTTTCATGATGAAGAGAGAAGCAATTGATTCAATGAGGGTGTGGCTTGCGGTTTCGAGTTTTTTGGGCATTTTTATTGGATTATATTAGTGCTCAATGTGGTGCAAAGTTAGCTAAAAAATAAAAATAAAAACAATGGATATGAGATGATAACAGGTAAAATGACATCTTTTTATTGAGTCTTACCTTTTATTGTTATAAAGTTGATGGTTACTATTCTCATTGAAAAAAAGATGTAATGTAATTGAAAAAAATTATAACCGGAGGTTTCTCTGCCGGTAAGAGAATCCCATTAGAATCTCCGACGAATCCATCCTCCTCAGCGGATTCCACTCGGATTTCGAGGTCACCAACTCATCTCCATCAAGATCTTCAACCACCACATTCTTATCCTCTGTTGGCTTTTTTTTCAAAGAAAATGGAGAGGAGACCGAGAGGAAGATGAAGAGCAGAGCATAAGCTGAAATGGAGAGAAGTATATGACTTCAACTCAAGTTTTCTCATTGCAATCTTTCCTATTTATAGAAAAATACAAACTCAATTCAAAATTCAAATCTAAACAACTATTCTACATTAAAAAATAACTATAAAATACATTTAAAATTTGAAATATGTAACAGCCATTTCTGTCACATTGCTGCGTCCTTTGGCAGCTTTGCAGCATGTTTGGTAACTCTGCAGCCTCTCATTTCATTTGCATTTGCATTTGCATTTAATTTGCTGTTCATTGCAGCCTCATTTCATCAACATTTGCAGCTTAGCTTGCTGCACATTTTTGCTGTCATTTGACAGCTCATTTTCACCATATTTGCAGCTAAATTGCTGCACTTTGCTGCTACCGTCCTATTGGTGCAGCTCTCCCTTCATTTTGCTGCCATTTTGTGCAGCCTTTCATTTTCATTTGCTGCTACTTTTGCAGCTTGAACACCGCAGCTCCAACAACCTCCACAAAATCACCAGCCTCCCCCGCTTTTCTCTGCTTCTGCTCAAACGCCACAACACCGGGCTCCACCGCACCGAAATCCGATCTACTACTCCTGACTTCGTACTCGAACACCGGACGGCGCGATGGTGATGATGATACCGTTTATTATAACATACAGAAACAGCAGCCGGAGCCAGGAAGCCACCGAAGTGGCCTGTCTTTGGCAGAAAATTTAGGGTGTAGGAGAGGATAATTTCATTAGTAGTTGAATGACTTTGTGACTTTTAGATGTCATCCTTCTGGGTCTGCACTTTTAGGAGCTTCTATTGAAACTGATTCTAAATTTTACAAAGTGTGTATTATCAATGTGCTATGATGCTGATACTGCTTTTATTTATTAATTTTTGCTTGTGTTTATCAGGCTCCTGCTGATGCAGTTAAGCAGCTGTGTCTTCGTTACGCAAAATTGGGGGAGGATTATGGTCTAGCAAAGCGAGCTATGAAGGTGTATGATGAGGCAACCAAGGTAGTACCAAATGAAGAAAAACTAAGCATGTATGAGATGTACATTGCTAGTGCTGCTGAGATATTTGGTGTCCTAAAACAAAAGAAATCTATGAGCAGGCCATAGAGTCTGGTCTTCCAGATAAAGATGTGAAGACAATGTGTTTGAAATATGCACAGCTAGAAAAGAGCTTGGGAGAAATTGACCGAGCTAGCTAGGGGAATATATGTGTTTGCATCTCAATTTGCAGATCCACGCACTGATGGTGATTTTTGGAATAATTAACATGAGTTTGAAGTACAGCATGGAAATGAAGATACCTTCAGAGAAAGGCTAAGGATCGAAAGAGTTGTTCCGGTAAGTTATAGCCAGGTAAGCCTTTATAAAAGGGAAAAACTTCCCATTTAGTTTTTAGATACATTATCAGGTTTTGTCTTTTTATTCTTGCCTAATCTTGTGAATTCTAGTTGATATTTGCTTTTCATATTTATTCGAAGTCTCATTTTTGTTGATTTTTCAGACACACTTCATTCTACCTGAGTACATGATGCAGAAGGATCAGTCATTGACCCTTGATGATCTAAAGGACAAATTGAAGTAGGCCGGTGTCCTGGAAGATGACATGGCTGCTCTTGAGAGGCAATTGGCCCCTGCATCCAAATTTGTCAATTCTAAAGACAGCAGCAGAAAAGTGAGGGTTTGTGACTGCTGGGGTGGAGTCCCAGACTGATGGAGGGATGAAGCCGGTTGCCACTGAAGACATTGATATGCGGGAAGAAAGTGATTCTAAAGATGAAGAAAGAGTTGAAATTGCACAGAAAGATGTTCCATCCGCTCTATTTGGAGGTCTTGCTCGGAAGAGGGACGATTGTGACAGAGATGGGGAAGATGATACTGTACCAGCCAAAGATAGGGAAAGTGAGAGCCGTTTAGGAGCTCCTGAGAGAATAAAGAGACAGAAAAAGACTTTGGTTTTAGTTACTAACCTCGTCTAATTTTGATTGCTGATATCATTTTTTCATTTACGACACTAGTACTCTTTAAGCATTTCTGACATGCATTAAGCAGCTGCCTGCCTGAACATACCGAGATTATGAGTTATTCCAATTCTTGTGATTATCGCCCCTGTAACCGAAGTACTGAACTTTCAGTTTCTATATTTACCCATGAAAAATACCCAGGTTATTTGTACTTGGAACATTATAATCTTTATTCACTGAAGATAATTTTCTCTTGTGAAGTACTAAATAGATTATTTCCAATTTGGTGCACCTTTCATGTTCTCAACTATTTTGATACCAAATTACAATACAATGATGTTATTGTTACATCTTAAATAGTTGATTAATGTCACATTTTTTTAATTTTAATTGATTATTATATTTTTTAATTTATTACGAAACAAAAAATATATATATTTTTTTAAAAAATGTTATAAAATGTATAATAAATAATTATATTAAAAAAATGTGATATTAACGATGTAATAATAACCCCAACCGTTACCATGAGATATGATGAAAAAACAACTACAAAATTTCACTGGAAGGGCCAAATGGAAATATTACCAGGTAAAGAGAGGGACAGGTTAGGTGTCGCATTTTTGCACCATTTATTAGTTAATTTTTTCTTCACATGTAGCCAAAAAAAAAAACCCCAATTGCTAAAATCTCGACCCTAGCTTCAATAGAAGCTCCCCAAACACCAACTTACTCTCTCTCAACCCTAGCTTCGATAGAAGCTCTCCAAACACCCAATCTCAACACTCTTTCTTACTCAATAGCAAATGTATCCATTATTGCAATCAAAATTCAAGACAGCATGAGCAAGTTTAACTTGGCCTTCCACATTTCATGCCTGTTAGTCAGCAATTAATTTGACAGAATATGGCACTTGTTTGCCTTAAAGATTTATGCATCTTCCACTTGCATTGATTGATCTTGATGAGATTTCTTCACTTGGGAGACTTGCCATATCATCACTGGGTAGCTGGCATAAATAAAACTGCTGGTATTAGCTGAATTGTCAGGAGAGATGCGACATATGTTGGAAAGTGAGTTCAATTCTCTTCATCACCATTTTCAAGACAAAACATATCCAGCAACTCACATTCGCCACCACTGGATCTACAATACCATTGATCTCCATGGTTAGCTACTGATTGATCTCCATGGTTAGCTACTGGTTGTCATTATGGTTGACTCTTGCTATTTTCATCTTGAATTCCCTGCTGCTCATTTGTTTAAACATGAGAACTCTGATGTGAGATGTCAATTACAAGAGCACCACAAAGTAGCATTAATAATTGAAATGAGATATAAAAAGAATTAGAGAAAAGCATATCTATTTTAAAGAATTTCAAGCTCAATCATAATTCCACTCAAGACATACCTTCGAGGAGTTAGAGTCACCAAGGGTTGAGATGTCCCTGGAGTCTGGGTACAGCTTAGTCAATGCTCTCCAGAAAGAGACCTACAAATTGGAAGTTGATAAGCAACTTTGCATCTGCTGCCATTCTTTGAAACAATTGAACTTAGAAGTGATTTACCCACTCAAGGTATAAGAGACCGATCAACATTCTGTCGTTCTGCTGGCTGACTGAAGTTGAGCACTTCCAAGAGCAAACCTTATGATCCAATAAATTTTCAAGGAAGAGTCTTAATTAGTTTTACCATAAGAGTATGCTCATTGTACTAATTAACAAAAGAGTACAAAATAAAAAAGACCGTGCTCAAATGCTTGAGACTTGGGAACATACCAGAATCATTCTTAATTTCTCTTGAAGACGGTGGTTTTCCAATTGCATTTTGCTTGTTCGATAATCATATTTATTAGGTGTTTCAAGGCCAATGAATGGGCTACAAATACAGGAATCAAACCCTATCGATACATAACACCTAACAGAACTCCAATCCATGTTTTGCATTCATCTGGACAAATTAAAACAACAGACAATCTAGATCATAACCACAAACATCATTCTAGAAAATTAATGAAAAACCAATGCTTTAAATGAAGAGAAAAGTCAAGTTAATTACACTGACCTGTTTTCCATTTCAGTCTCCATAGTGTGAATCCCCCCTAGTCACAGATTCTTCAAAAACTTTAATTCAAAATCTATTATAATGACAAGTTTGCAACTGTATATATTAAGAAATGTGAAGTGATCTGGAGCTGAATCATAGGAATGTAATGAAGAAACTTAATAGTTAGAACCAAATGAAAATTATAAGTTGTCAAACACCAGTCATTTGATTGATAAAATAATATACTTCAAAAACCGAAGTATAACATTACAAGAAAAAAAAAAAAAGGTGAAAAACAATGAGAAAACAAAAGCTCACAAAATTTTAAATCAAGAATGCATCAGATCATATAGAGATGCGGTCAAATTTTGAAAGAAATGTTTACAAAGAAAACATAGCTTACCTGAATTCATGTATGGATCTTATAAAAATCAAAAGGTCTCCATGGTTTTTGAGATGATTATGGTGCTTAGCTCTTTGGCTTTTCAGCAAGGTGTCACCAACATCACTTCTGCTCCTAGACTGAAAGAAGGGTCTTAGAGACTGATTGCTTGTAGGTTAATTTGAAGACCAAAGGCCTGCAAAACGATGTAGCTTTTATACACAACATACATTATCCATGCATCAGATAAGTAAATCTTACACAAAATGAGATAACTAACGTTTGATAGACTTGGATGCATTTGAAATACTTGTTTGACCAACTTTATTTTTTACAATTGTATCCTAGTTGAAACTGGGGTTTTGTTATTTTCATCCTACATGAGCTAATACAACATTAAGAGAAGGTAAAAATGCTTGGGAAGGACCTACTTTACAAGGTCAAAAAATTCAGCAATAACCTTCCTCATAGTTAAGTTGGCAGAAGAAAGAAGTGATGCACTACTAGAATAAGTTTGGTGAGTTCAATGGTAAACTTTGATGCTACTCATTACCAATTGTATAATAGGGTTTAATATGGCAAATAAAGTCTAACCTCAAAATCAGCATTGAAGCCCTTGGTCTGGGTTGGGCTACCAAGCCATGATGCCTGCCTTCAATGTTGGAACCTCGTTTTACTTTCTGTTTTATTAGTTTCTGCAACAAACGAAGTGTCTCAACCATGCAGTCTATGCAGATGATTGCTTATTATCATCATCCTGATGCAGCAAACTAGGAATTTAGAATGGTAGTAGTACAACATTTGAATAGAGAAATTATTAATAAAACATTTTAAGACTTGAAATTGCATATATTGAAGGGGAAAGAAATTATCAACTTAATTTGCTTTTGAATTGTAGGTAATGTGGTAGTAGATAAATTTAGTTTTAGTTGCTACATACTATACATAAATTAAGAAAAAAAAAAAAAGAGATTTAGTAGTAGTACCAGAAAGATTGACAGAAGACAAATGCATAATTGAAATCAATCATGGGAATGTGGGAATTAGGGAATTAAAAAGAAATGATATATACTACCATATAAGTATGTATAATTAAAGGCTGAAGATACCTCGACAAGATTTCCTTTGTGTTGGATCCAACTAGCATCTATTACAATATTTTGAACGTGAGAGATATAGTCCCACTCAGAACCACTTCCTCTGGCGCATCTTTCCTTTAACTCAGGGCATTCATCAATATAAGGCCCTTCTAATTTGGAGAGGCATCGAATGGCTTCCATATGTTTCAGAGATTTGCAATTAGAAATTGATAGAGTTTGAAGAGAGCATAAGTTTCTAAACCAGTTTGGCAAAGCTTCCAGTCCATCAAAATCCCTTATTTTGAGATACCTAAGGGCAGTTAGGTGTTGAATTTGATCCAGCAGATGTTCTCCTGATTTTCCCCATGCAAACAAAGTCAATTCTTCAAGAGAGGATCCGATGAAGCTCAACTCTGGGAATTCCTGGAGCTCTATTGAGAAACCACCAATAGTCAGCTTCTTTAAGTGAGTAAGGCAGGCAAGGTTAGGGATGCTCCAGCTACTCCTTAAATCATCTGGAATAGTGATTAGATTCTGACAGTTGGCGATAGCCAATTCCTCAAGAGCAGTGCATGATGGCAGCCCACTTGGCAAACCTCTTAATCCACCACAATCCCTTATCGATAAAGTCTGAAGAAAGGAAAGCCCGTGGAGGGTTGGCAAACTTATTAATCCACTACAATCCCTTATCAACAAAGTCTGAAGAAAGGAAAGCCCATGGAGGCTTGGCAAACTTCTTAATCCATAACAATCCTCTATAGATAAAGTCTGAAGAGAGGAATGCGCATGGAGGCTCGGGAGGGACGTCAAAGCATTACAGCGATTTATAGTGAACTCTTTGAGACACGTGGCGGCAGATAAACTCTCCCCTATGCTTTTCAATTCCCCACACCTGCATATATAAATTTTTTGAAGAAAGGAAAGCCCCTCTACACTGGGCATGAACATCAGCCTCTCACAATCAGAAATATTTAACTCTTTTAGACACGTGGAGGCAAATACAGCGTCGTCCCCAATCATCCTCAATTGCTTGCAATACCAAATTTCGAGTATCTCAAGGGATTGTAATTTACTAATCATTGGAAGATTTTCCAATTTACCACATCTCTTTATATGTACTTTTTTGAGAGACTCCATGGAAAATGGTCCAACCTCTACCCTAACTACTTCATCACATGCAAGGGACGAATCTACAATGCTTTTCAGCCGGGGACATTCACAAAAGGTCATGAATACCAGACTTTTGAGAAAATTAACTCTTTCAGACATCCATGAAGGACACCTCTCACCACAATAGTATTCAATAATTAGGCCTTTCAAATTTGAATGAGGTTGGAGGCCTTCCAAGATATCTTCATCATGTTTGCATCTATTTGCACTACCATTCGATTCTTGACCAAACACTAATTGCAACTCCTGAATTGTAGGCTTTTCAGAAAGTCTTGCTTCCATGGCATCAGTTTTGTCTTTAACCATGTCCAAATTACGAATCTCTAATTTTCCCCTGAGTTGACTTAAACATCTCAATTCTTCAATCCGATGTCCCTTCTGTTGTCCTACTACAAATAATTGTAATGTTTTCAGAGAAGTTAGTCTACCAATCCCTACTGGCATAAGCTTCCACTTATTGAAATAAATGTGCCTCAAATTGACTAAGTCCCATATTCCTTTCAAAGGCCTTTTGATTTCCCAGCAATCCATAAATCTAAATGTCTGCAAATGATAGAACTTGGAGATGAATTTGGGAAGTTCTTTGATTCTAGTTTCTAAAACATCCAAGAACCTTAAATGCTTCATTTTCCCCAAAAAAACTGGTCACTCATCAATATCAGCACCATGGAAACTAAGAACCCGCACCTTTCTTAAGTTTTCAAGCATATTGGGAAGGGGATTAACCTGTGAAAACAAAGTGTGCAATTTTTTTGTAGCTTCCCCTAATTGTGTTGTTGTCATATCCATATTAGAAATGACATTCAAATGTCGAATGTCTACAGGAATATTTCTCCCACTACCATCTTCCAAAATCAAACTTTGGGGCTTTGAAATAGATTGTGCAAGATCATGAACTAAATCATGCATTTTGCTAGCAATAATGCTCCCATAAGAATCTCTTTCAACATCTTGAAATAAAGAATATGATGACAATGCATTGAAATACATATCATCAATATCCTCCACCTCCAAGTATCTTTCACTAAATGGCTGAAGAAATCCTTCAGCCATCCAGAGCTGGATTAACATCTCCTTTTCCATGACAAAATCTTTTGGAAAAATGGAATAGAAAGCAAAACATTGTTTCAAAGCAGGTGTTGGCAAGCGATTGAAACTCAACTGCAATACTTGCAAAAAACTCCATTAGCTTCTTCCATTGAACCCCATACTTGGCTATTATCTTTAATTGATAACCAGTTATCCTTCTTTCTATTATTGCACAAACTCCCCCCTATAACATTTGCAACCAATGCTACACCTCCACATTTGCTAGCAATATCCCTTCCAATCCCCTCCAATTCTGAAGGGAATGATGAACTGACAAATGCTCTCTGCTTGATTATGGACCAACAATCCTCCATTGTTAGTGTCTCGAGATGATGCATGTGCTCAGAAAGTGTTCCCATTGTGAAGGCTACATTTTCACTCCGAGTTGTAACAAGAACCCTACTCCCAACATTTTTGCCTATACCCAATGAACAGCTGCTTAAGGATTCCCATTTTTGCTTGTCTTCATTCCATACATCATCTAATATGAGAAGATAATTTTTCTCCTTCAAATTTTCTTCTAGTTTTTGAACTAAAATATCTAGAGTTACATCCACAAAGACATTTTCACCAAAAGCTTGCAACATCTCTGCTAAAATTTGTTTCAAATTAAAATTTTCAGAAACACAAACCCATATTATTTTGAAAAAAATGACTCCGTATCTGCTCATTGTTGCACACTAGTTTGGCGATAGTAGTTTTGCCTATGCCTCCCATACCCACTATGGATACAATACGAAGAGTTTGATCATTACTTGAGTCAATCAATGATTGAATGACTTCTAGGACCTTGTTTTCCCTTCCTACAATTTTTGATGGATCACCAATTGAGGAATCTGTCTGTTGGACTTCGAAATGTTCAGGAAGCATGTTTGCAAGTCTATGTTGAAGCCCTAATCCAGTGGCCGAATCATTAAGGCTAGCTAGATCTAAGTTCAAATCCTTAATCCTGCTAGCTATTTTAAGGCGAAAAGCTAAAGGATTGGAAAGAGTAAAGAAATAGTTGACCTTTTTCCACATTTGTTTTTGAACCACCGTGTACCTTAGATGTTCATATGCAATCTCATCTACCACATTATCAGCTTCATCAACTATATTACCAAGCTCCTTAAGCCAAGACTGCAAATCAGAGTGACCTGTCACCTTCTTCTGTTCTGCATCTTGCAGCACGCCCCTTACCATGCTCAGCACCACACGGAACTGTCTAAGGTCCTGCTTGAATCGCACTGCTAAGTTGAGTTGCTCAGTAGTAACTAAAATCACCTTAGATATTGTGACATCCACAAGAGGACTAAGAAGTTCAGTAGCCATATTTGATTCAGTAGTTTGGAAGAGAGAAATTTTTGGAGATTGTACAGCACAAAGAGGAGAGAATGATGTGAAGGGGGTAGGGAATAGCTGCAGGCAACATTTATAGATGCAGACAATAGAAGATGAAGGTTGAGGACTGAGGCTTGTCCAAAACTGAAGAAAAAGATAAAAGGGTTGCCCGATGACTGATGAGGAGGAAAAGAAAAAGGATCTTTCTTAAAACACCAATATTCTCCTCCATTGTTGTTAATTAGTGTTGATGTATTATTCCTTTTTGGTAGCACCTTACATTTCTTTGGACTAATATTCTTTTCCACCATAGCATTTACCCTCCATTGTTGTTGATATATTATTCCT